CTTAGCAATTGCTCTTTCATTTTACAAGAAGGAGACTGGATGCTATGACAGTGTGTTTTGAAATAGCAGACAGGGAGCCTAATGGAGTCCATGCCACATCTGAGGAACAAAGAAAAGACTGGTTTGGCTAGATGATAGAGTGTCAGAGGGAGAATAACAGATAATGGTCTTAGCTAGGTTGAAGTCCAATAGTTCACAAAGGGCTGGTCTAGCTTTGAGACTCCCAGGATCAAAAAGCAGCTCTGAGAACACAACTCAACTACAGCTGAGTCAAGGGATCATCCAACAGTGAGTGAGGCCACATATAGATGGAGCTTAGTGGGACTTGGAGCTGTGTTAAATCTGAGCATGCTCCCCTCAGAGACTGAGGTGGAATAGAGGAAAGGGAGCCCACCAGGAGTTGTGGGGTAGTTGTTCGTAGTTCTGTTTTAGATGTACCATTATCTCTTAATAAAGGTTAATTGATATTAATTGTTGAAATGGAACTAGAGTGCCAGTCACTAGAGGTAAATAGTTGGGGTTCTACATTGGAACTAGAGAAGAATGCCCACAATCTATCTGTGATAGCCCCAGAGCCCTGAAGGAGAGATGCAGCTAGCCTAGAGAGAATGAGGCCAGAGTACTCATTACATATACACACAGAATAAATAAAAGATAGTTGAAAAAGGTAAGAAATGGCAATTAGGAGAATCAGGAAAGATACATAGAAGGTAGTGCTTGAACTGTTTACTAGAGGAGATGAGGGATTCTATGAGGTGGGCATGAGGAGAAAATTCATTCCAGGTATAAATGATGACCAGCACAAAAGTGTGGGCAGGGGATGGTGTGCTGCATGAAAGGAACACAGAGAGAAAAGGTTATTTTGGCTAGATCAGGAAGTGCCAGAAAGAGAATAATGCATATAAAGTTGGAAAGATATACGTGAGTCCAACAGTATCCCAGAGTTTAGAAGGAACCAATTGTCTTAGTTCACTCATTTTACAAATAAGGAAACTGAAACTTATGGGGATTGAGTGACTTGCCCAGGGTCATACATCTAGAAAGTGTCTGAGGCCAGACTTTAACTCGAGAAGATGAGTTTTCCTGACTGGAGAGTCTGAACTCTATCTCCTGCACCACCTAGCAGCCTGTATGAATAGTCTCCCCCATCAGAATTACACCTGGATAGAAAGGATTGTTTTATTTTTCTTTTTATATATCTGATACTTAGCACAGTGTTTTCCACATAGAAAACCTTTAATAAATGCTCTATTTATTTATTCGTTCATTCCAAGTTCAGCATTCTATTTATCACCAAACTCTCCCAAATGTATGTAGTGTACTATTATTGTATCATACTCAGCAATAAATATGAGAAATACAGAAAAGTGTGAGAAGACTTATTTGAACTGACTCAGGGTAAAGTAACTGGAGCAAAGAAAATAATTATAGGACCATAGATTTAGAGCAGGAATGGACCTATTTTTAAAATAAGTCATTAGAAATTAAATCAGTGTTCTCAATACAGAATTAATAAACATAAATAGCAGAGTAGTAAGAAATTGGATATGAGATGGAAGAGTTCCTATAGCCATGCTCTCAGTCACAGGCCTCAAGAGCACAGAGTGAGTTGGGAGTAGGTACATGGAATAAGACCTGTAAGTATGAAAGTTCTCCAATTGTATTTCATGATTACTTTTTAAACCTTACGTCCTGTTAAGTCTTCTTTTGGATTCAGCTGTAATTACTCTATAGCAAATAATACTTTCTGACATTTTTGGATCGTTGATATTTAGGTAACTTTGGATCTTGGGTATCTTACCTTATCTGCTTCATTTCCTTCTCATTAGCATCCCAATGGGCTTACCCCCAAATACCTCGGAGCATTTTTGTCTAGAAAGTTATCGCTCCCCATGACTATCACCATCAACAATGAAAAAAGTCCATGTTAACTTTTAGTTGTTTATAGATGGAGTGAGTTCAACACACTCCAGGAGCCTAACGCCTAAGACAGACAATAATGTCGTGGCCTGAGTATTCAGGACTCATGGTGAACTTACATATAAATAGAAATGAGGGGACTTTATTTGGTAGTATTTATTATAGAAATGTTACTCATAGGATACTAGGTTTAGAATTAGAAGGAACCTCAGAGTATCTAGATCAGAGGTGGGGAACCTGGCCTCGAGGCCAAGGGCCGCACCTGAGGACCTAGAGGGCCGCACGTGGCCACAGGTTCCCCACCCCTGATCTAGACTGTCCCACTTATTTTATGGATGATGAAGCCCAGGCAAAGAGAGGTTCTGTGACTTCCATAACATCATCACGCAGGCAGTGACAGAGTCAGGACTTGAACCCAGGCCCTCTAACTCCAAATCTGACACCCCACTGTGTTGGTAATCCCAAGACTTACACCAGTTAGAAAGTATAAAGTACGTGCCTTTAAAAAAAAAAAAAGCAGCAAGCAAATTAGTACATATCTTTGGTTCCTCGGATGTATTTTCTATTTTACTTGAACTAGGTAAAGGAGTAAAAGTTTAAGCCTAAGCAAACAAGAGACTTTAATTTCTCCTCACTTTCATGTCACACAGTTGAATGATACATTATCTTCCCTAGCCTGGGGATGGGGGGAGGGGAGGGGAATCATTAGGTGCCTGGTACCCAGAAACCTTGGTGACAGGAATCAGTGGAATTCATGGGAAAAAAAAACAACCAGAGAGAGATAGGGGTTCCTTACTGGGTACAATTGGGTCACAAGTCTAAGAAGGCTTGAGCAGGGCTTGAACAGGAGTTGTCGGCTCCATCCCCGGATGTACCTTTTGGTTCCTGCTCTTGGCTTTCCCGGCCAAAGCCATGTCCCTCTGCTCAGTTCTCCGCAGAACTTCCAGCCTCCAGGAATTTGGGCAGAGTGGCACCGACATCACCAGCAGAGACTGCAGTCACTGACACTCCCTTCCTAGGCAATCTTGTGACTCGGAGCAGACCCTGCTCCACTTTTAAAAAGGAAGCAACACTGGAGACCCACAGGAGCAGGGCAGCTGCGACTCAGCAATAGGTGAGTAAAGGCAAGGGGCATGAAGGTGCTAACCCTTCAAAGAAAGGGAACGGAGACTCAGGATGGGCTTACAGAAAGAAGGGGAGGAGGGCAAGCCAACAAAACCCTAATTCTGAAGAATGAATGCAGGATAATGTACGAGGTCATATAACGTTCTGGCTTAGGGAGTTCCTGAGAGAGACCCTGAGCTCAAAGGGCCACTGGTTTGTTAATTCCTCAGATACACACAGGAAGGTCTAATACCATCCCAGAATCAGGTGCTCTACGTGGTATTTGGGTTGGACTTCCAGGAAAGGGAAGTTGCTTAGCATCCTAAGTTCTGGGCACAAACAGCAGATGCCACAGTGCCAAGTGGCCGTACATATGAAGACTCCTTGGAACATATCATTTACCTGCACCCCTTTTACATCAACTGAGAACAAAGAAACAACAAGGGGGAATCTGCTCGTGGCTATTTATACAGTTTGGGGAAATCCACTTGGTTTGTCTGCTTTTCATTGCATTGTAGAAAAGCCCTTTGTGATAGTGAAAAGAGTCTGGGACTTGGGATCAGAAGATGTAGGTTTCAGTTTTGCCTTCTCTGTTTACTAACTCTATGACTTTGGAAAAGTCACTTAACTTTTTACCATTTTGTTGTTGTTGAGTCATTTTTCATTTGTGTCTGACTCTTCGTGCCTTCATTTGGGGTTTTCTTGGCAAAGATCCTGGAGTGGTTTGCCATTTCCTTCTCCAGTTCATTTTACAGGTGAGGAAACCTCCCCTTCCCCTCTCCTTCCCACACAACTTCTCACATGAATCCTTCATTTAATACTTATTTTTTTGCTTCACATTTGTTCACAGCATTCTTGTGCCTATTTTACATATAATTATAATAATAGCTAGAATTTATATAACATTTTAAGGTTTGCAAGGCACTTTTCATCCTCACAACGTTGAGAGTGAGGTACTATTGTTATCCTCATTTTACAGATGAGGAAACTGAGTCACACAGACATTACATGACTTGCCCAGGGTCCCACGGTTTATAAGTATTTGAGGATGTATTTAGGTCTTCCTGATGCCAGGCCCAGTGCCCTATCCACTGGGCCATCTAGCTGCCACACATATGCCTAGTGTGGTCTCACTGAAACCCACAAAGAGGCAATGTAATGTAGAGAGAGTGGAAGTGGACTTAGAGTCAGGAGAACTGGTTTCTTGGTTTTTGCTCAGCCACTTATGGTGAGTCATAACTTCTCTAGGCCTCAGTTTCTTCATCTCTTAAATGTGAATAAATTCTATCCTGATTACTTACTGACAAAATGAGATTACTGTGAGGATTAAGTGGTATAATTTATATGAAAGTACCCTGAAAACTGTAGGATAGCTTGATAAAATAAGTAACTATTATCACCCTTTATACCATAGTAAAAGACAGGGTGATTTATTTGGCCTTCAAATTCTTGGTGTTTCAAAAAAAAAAAAAGGAAAAAAATTACTCATTTTTATTTTCTATTTCTTGGTCAGATTCTTTATTCTGAGTACTGTGTGTGTGTGTGTGTGTGTGTGTGTGTCTGTGTTCTGTGTGTGTCTGTGTCTATGTATATATCATAAGTGCCTCCCTCCTCCAGTTCAACCAATATTTACCCATGTGGTTGAAAATGGCACAGTTTAATTTATAATTAACTAGAAACATTTCTTTTTTGTCTGATGAATAGGGATTTAAAAACAGCACCATACACACACATAAATTTGTGCATATATGTGACTATGGACTAATTAATATTTACCAGACATCAGCATATATGATTTTGAAGAACTTAGCACATTAGAGATGATGGAAAAACCCAGGAGTTGTCTTGGGGATAATAAATACACCCAAGTATAAGGTCTTACTTTTTGGGGATCTCATGGCAGATCATGGCAGAGGTTTGGGATGGTGAAAGGATGCCCATCCAGTAGGATCTTGAGAGGCACTCTTCCCATTTATTCCTGCACACACGTTTTGTTGTCCAACACAACCCTCTTCATACCCATGTTCCCATCATCACGCTCCAAAGACTCTTTCTTCTCCATTGCAGTCGGCCTTCTCTGAGGGAACAGAGTCAGCAGCCCCAGCCTCCATGCTGCCTCTTACCTTCATCTTCTTCCTTCTTCACTCTGGCTGCCTCCAGCGAGGAAATGGTGGCCTCCAAAAGGAACTGAAGGCGTTAAAGACTGAATTTGCTGTCCGCCTCTACCAGAGCTTGACAGGAAATGGAAATGGGACAAACTTGGTCATCTCACCAGCCAGCGTGTCTGTCCCTCTGGAGATACTACAGTTTGGAGCCCAAGGAAACACCTGTTTGCAACTTGAAAGGGCCCTGGGGTATACAGTTCATGGCAAGTGCTGCTTGAGGCCTTACTATATTATTTACATAATTTCCTCCATTACCTTTTCTTCCTTATCCCCTGCTGGAAAGGAGATTGTTTCCCCTTGGCTCTTCACTTTGGCAGTGGGCAGAAGGCACTAGGCCTCTGAGTTCACGTTTCAGCACTATAAGACCCTCAAGGGATGATTCTCAAAGAGGACAGAGCTCCCAGAACTTTGTTTTTCCCCAGAACAGTCCCAACAGCCACTTAATGTAGGACGATGTTTACGCTTTCTTAATGCTAAGCTCCTTTAGCTTTTATTCTAATCCACTGCTTGTTGAAAAAGTCAATAAGGACCAAAAGAACACATGTATAAAGTGGCAGCTAGGTAGCTCAGTGGATAGAGCACTGGCCCTGACGTCAGGAGGACCTGAGTTCAAATCTGGCGTCAGACACTTGACACTTACTAGCAAGTCACTTAACCCCAATTGCCTAAAAAGTTAAAAAAAAGTGGCAACTAGTTTTGGGCCAGAGTCTTAGGCCAATCTTATCGTTTAATTAGGGCAATTAGGTGGTGCAGTAGATAGTTCCTGGGCAAATCACTTAACCTCTCTTAATTGAACCTTACTTTCCCCATCTGGAAAATGGGGATAACAATAGCACTTACCTCACAGGGCTGTTGTGAGGATCAAATGAGATAATAGGTGTGAAGTGCTTTGTAAGACTTAGCACGAGGGGCAGCAAGATAGTGCAGAGGGTAGAGCACCAGTCCTGGAGTTCAAATCCAGTCTCAGATACTTGACACTTAACTAGCTGTGTGACCTTCCTTTGGCAAGTCACTTACCCCTGATTGCCTCACCAAAAAAAAAAAAGAAGTGCTATATAATTCCAGCTGTTATCATTCTCATTATTAACAAAAAAGATCTATCCTGACACAAATTGCAGTCCTTCTACACTATTTTGTTCTTGGCTTCCTGTCTGCATGGGAACCAGATCTCTTGAGGGTTCCCCATGTAAACACAGAATGACTCCTTGGGCACACAGCAGCATCCCAGAGTAGTATAGTTAATACATGGGTTCTAAACCAGAGGTCAGCAGATCCCCCACAAGGGGTCCATGGAAAGATTTCAGGGGACCTCTGAATTTGGATGAGGGAAGTAAATTACATCTTTTTCTGATCTCATAGAAGTCTCAATTTCCCAAAGTCACAAGTTCCAGAGACTCTTTTTATTTTTCCCTACTCGGAACCCTTCATTTGTCCTTATTAAGAATAATTTGGTAAACGGTGATTTTCTAAAATTGCTACTCTGGCCAAGCCTTCGGATCATTAATCCAGCTGCCATGTCACTCATCTTCTGGGCAGAGGTATATTTACCCTCAAATCAGCCATTGACTGATTTGCCTTTTTAAGCTCAACCAAGAACCTGGCAAATAACATTAACATAACTGTCTCCTCCCATTGCTTCCCAAACAATTAGGATAGTAGTGTACTGTCATGGTTTCACCTATTATATGGACATCTTCCATAGGCTGCTAAGAAGGACCTCAAAGCACTGTAAGATTTTGGATTCCAGCCACCCTTTCAAGTGCAGGCTTTGCATTTTCCTGAACACAGAGAGGAAATCTTCTCTATCACCCTTCCTTTATCATACATCCATCTCAATCTCCTAGGAGTAACAGAGAAAAGTCTAGCTATGCACAATCAGCTCATGTCTATACTCCCATCAAAGAATCTGGGAAAGAATTAATTGATGAAAATAAACAAGGATGCTTAGGGAGTTTCTTGATTGAAAGACAAGCATAGAAGGAAAGGAAACAGAATAAGCATGTGTAAAGTGCTGGCTCTGTGTCAGATACTGTACTAAGCATTTTACAAATACTATCTCTCAGAAGAAAGTTTCCTGCCCGAAATTTGTTTTGAACTAATTTGTGCATCAGTTTCAGGCTCAACAATTGTTGCCTGTCTGGTAAATAATTAGGTGACATAAGAATGAGAAATTTAGAGTTGCAAAAGACCTTAGAGACCACTGAGTCCCACACCCTCATTTTATAAAAGAGGAAACCGAGATTTTGAAGTTGACTACAAACCTGGAGGCCTAGCTTGGCTGTGATGTACTGGCAAGGTATTTACAATCTCTCCACAGGGTGCTTAGGAGAAAATTAAGCTGATCATGTCTACTGAATAAACATGGTGAGAAGAGTGCAATATTGATTTGGGAAATAAAGATGCAATCTTCTACAAAAGGTGTTCCAAAAATCATTGCCGTTTTAAACTACTAAAGCTTAAAATCCCACCCTGTATAAATACTAATAACCAGAAACTGAGATTTAAAGATGCAAGAAAATAGAAACTATTGACTTTTTTAAAAAAATCCTTATTTTCTCAGCATTTTCCCAAACTATTATTGATATTAATAACATGAACTATCTCTAGTTAGAAATAAAGGCTCTCTTTTTTTCTGGACTTCTACAACTGGAGATTTTCACTGGAAAACTTGAGGCATCCAAATGCCAGGTGGATTTATACCATGAAATAATCTGAACAAGTTCATAATCCAATGGAATACATAAAGATAGACTACATCAGCATCCCAGCCACCTGTCCATCATGATTATTTATATCATTTAGAATAATCTTCAGAACATCTCAAATTTAGAAAAAAGTCACTACTAACCTACCCTGAAATTTTCCCCAGCCTTGTTCACACTTGCCACTAGTATACTTTTGAGATACAGAATGCGTGTGATCTTAAGGAGGACCTGGTTATGTAGATGGCACTTTCCATCTGACTTGACCACAGCTTGAGTTCTTTTCTTAATTCTGAATTTCTGGGTTTATGCTGATTTTCTGCCTGGTCTGGGTAAAACTTTGAAAAATAATCTCATTAATGAAACAGGGTAGCAGAGTAGATAGAGGTCTTTGGATCAGTAACACCTGGGTTCAAACCTGCTTTGAGTGCCCTATGGTCTATGCTCATAAGCAAATTACTTAATGTCTCCATGCCATAGGCATCTATGGAAGACTATAAATTAGAGGCACCTTACAGAGCAAATTTCCATACTTGGTGTTCCTACAGAAATGAAATAATAAGTCTAGATTAAACAACAGCAAAAAAAAAAAGTTTTGATGACTTTTCTTCAGATCAACCCAGGAAACAAACATGGAGAATGTTGAGTCCTACTGCAACATTGGGCTTGCTCTAAAATAATGCTTCCTCCCTGTTCAAGGTGTTTGCACAAGTTATAACCTAAATCCTTTTCTGCTGGTCAGCTACTTCATTTATGTATGATTTTTCCCCTCCCTCTCCTTCCTCTAACAGACAGAAGGGTGCATGATTTCCTGAGAATTGCTCAAGCAGCAGCTACTACTTCTGGCCCAGGGACCATGATTCAACTGGCATGTGCCTTTTTTGTACAAACCGGAACACAGCTCTCCTCTCGTTTCACTGAGCACATCTCCCTGTGGGCCAACAGCAGCCTGGTGACCACCAACTTCAGTGAGCCTAACAGGACGACAGCTCAGATCAACAGATGGGTCTCTGGGTTTGTTGCAGGTAAAACAAAACAAACAAAAACAAAAACTCAACCAACTAAAGTTAATAACAGACAGCTGTTAATAGAGCCTCTCAAAGGGCAAGGTATAATTTAGTGCCCGCGTATGTGTTAACACCTAACTAAGAAACAGCACTGATTAGTCCTCTGGCTTCTCTCTTTGGTATCTTGTTACCTAATGCTGTAGCCAAGGTCTGCCATTTTGATTTAGTGATCTTTAGTCATGGGTCTGTTTCGTAGGTAGGAATGGAACCAACCATAGGTCATTAGGTAAGGTAATGTGCCTACAAGAAGTCATTCTTCAGAACCAATCCTTATCATCTTCCCGACCTTTCAGACCCCTAAAACCAGGATTCAGCCTCTTTGTTTGGTGACTCCTTCCTCCCATTCAGATTGATCTGCCTTATTCACTTAGGCATTGGGTTGCTGACCCCTAGGGTTAAGGGGTGTTAATTAAGCAATGTTAAGAGGGTTTGAGGAAGAACTCACTTTAGGAAGGATGGGAAGGGCTGGGGAGGAAGCCAAAGCCCATGTTCCTCAGAGCCAAAGATCATCAGAATAGTAAGTCCAAGCAGGCAGGAGGCAAGAGACAAGATAATTTAGGTGAGGTTTCTTAATCTGGGGAGTCGGCAAGCAATTTATCAGAGCAAAGAGACAACAAAGAGATCGCGTATTGTTGGGAAAAGAGTACCGGACTTGGAGGCAGGAGACATCTGTGCCCACTTCTGATACCTACTGCTTGTGTGACTCTGGGGAAGTCATGTGACCTCTCTGAGCCCCAGTTTTGTCAGCTGAAGATAAAGATAATGATACTAGTGACACACAGTCAGTGACTGTTGGAAGGGTTGTTTGCAATAATGTACATAAAGCCTTTTGCCAATCTTAAGATTTCAGACATGTAAGAGTCAGATCATTTAAGCTAGGGCTTCTTAACTTTTTTTCTGTCCAGGACATCTCTGGCAGTCTAGTGAAGTCTGTGGACCCCTTCTTAGAATCATACTTTAAATATCTGAAGGAAATGCTAAATTCCAGCTAGAAGTTAGTGAAAATAAAGGTAGAATTTTATTCCCAGTCTGTGGACTCCAGGTCAAGTTCTAAGTTAAAGTGTTAATAAAAACCAGTTAGAAGCAAAAACTGATACCCTACCCAGAACACTCCTAGATAACATTTAATAGTGGCCTTTTAGAGACAATATCCCCCCTTTTTTTTTTTTTTCAATCCATGGAAATGACTCTCAAGGAATTTCAGGCCTGGTAGGAGGGCTGGAGACACTTTTGTTGGCCAACTGAACTTGGCAGCATCCTGCAAACAAGACCATCTAAGACCATCTATTAGTTGCACCTGTATGTAGAACTAACCCTAGAAAAAACACTACTAAAAATAAAATTTAATTTAATTTTTAAAAATCTAATTTCCCTAAGACTCTTTAAAAGGAATATAAAGAGGAAAAATTAGTTATTAGGATAAGAATAGGGACTAGAGCTGATTTCACTGGTGTAGGGAGCTGTGGGATAAAGAAAATCCTTCTGCCAATGCATGTCAAGACCTTCTCTTTGACTTATAACCTTAGAAAATTGCCTAGACTAGGAAAAAGTGGTAACATACAGCCAGTATGTGTCAGAGGCACTAATTCAAGTCTTGCTAGACTCTAAGGTCAGTTCTCTATTCATTATACCACACTGTCTCTCACTAGTTAGTACTTAATCATAATATATTAATTAATATTATATATAATTAATAAATATTATATAATTAATTTTATATATAATTAATAAATATTATATATAATTAATTTTATATATGTAATTATACTTAATTATGAGTGCATACTGGTTTGTTAGCTTCCCTGGTTCTTATGAGGTTACAGATCTTACTGCCCTGATCTCCTATGGAATTTCCCCCAAGTCCAAACCATATGCAAGAGTTCACTGGACAAATTAGGTCTGTTTGCTTTCATTTCTATTGCCTGCCCTCCTTCTGGTTCTCCCTCTGCGCAGATGAAAAAAACGGAAATGTCTCCTTGGAAAGGATTCATTCAGCACTTGCTCAGATGGCTCTGGTGAGCACCATGTCCTTCCAAAGCATTTGGCAAAAGAGATTCTCCTTCACAGACACCCAGGTGTTGTCTTTTACTAGCACAGAAGGCCTCATACTCAGAGTGCCCATGATGTACCAGACTGCTGATGTCAACTACGGTGAGTATTTTCCACAGAAGGACGGCTAGGTGGCACAATGGATAGAGCACCAAGCCTGGAATAAGGAAGACCCAAGTTCAAATCCAGCCTCAGATGCTTAATAGCTATGTGACCTAGAGCAAGTCATTTAACCTCTATTTGCCTCAGTTTCCTCATCTGTAAAATGGGCATAATAATAACACTTACCTCTCTGGGTTGTTGTGAGGATCAAATGAGATAATAATTACAAAACGGTTGGTGCAGTGCCTGGAACATGATAGGCACTATGTAAATGTTAGTTTCTATTATTAGTAATGGTAATAATAAAATTTCATTTTATTTTTTCAATGGAAGAAAAATTCATTTTCCCTCCCACTTACTACCCAATCTCATTGGAAAAAACAAAAGCAAAACTTTTGTTAATAAATGTGGGTGGACAAGTAAAACGAATTCCCAAATTAGTCATATTGAAAACATTTGTCTTACTCTGAACGCTGACTCTATTACTATTACTATTACTGAGTCGATTACCTTTTTGTCAAGAGGTGGGTAGCATTCTTCCTCTTGAGTCCTCTGGAATTGTAATAGGTCGTTGCGTTGATCAGAATCCTTAAGTCTTTCAAAGTTATTTGTTTTTACAATATTGTTGTTATTATAGAAATTGTTCTCCTGGTTCTGCTCACTTCACTCGGCATCAGTTCATACAAGTCCTCCCAGGTTTTTCAGAAATTGACCCTGTCATCATTTCTTATAACACAATAATAGAATCACAGAATTGGAAAGGAACTGTTATTTAGGTCCCCGGAAAAATTATGTTCTTCTCATAATTAGGCCTTTGGAAACGCTTATGTTCTTCCTAGATTGACTTCTGTATTTTCCTTCCTTCCCTACTCCTCAACAAAGGCTGTCCTAAGCTTTTTCATTAAGGCACTATGGTATCAACTGTCCATTGGACGTCTCCCCCGTATGTCTCTCAGGTATCTCAAACGCAACATGTCCATAATAGAAATGATCATCTTTTTCCTCCAAATTATTTCTCCAGACTTCCAACTTCTGTTGAAATAACTCCCATCCTCTAAGTGATTTTTTAGGTTCATAGCCTCTTCCCCTTCCCATATTACCTCTTTCTATCTCCAATCAGTGGCCGAGTCTTGTCAATTCTACCTCTAGAACTTCTTTTGCAGTTGCCTCCTACTTTGTCCTAATACAGCCATCACTCTGGCTTGCACACTCTCATTTCTACACTTATCTATTATAGCATCTTCCTAATAGGTCATCCTGCTTCCACTTTCCCTTCTTCAATCCACCTTCCACACAGCTGCCAAAATAATCACCCTAAAATACAGATCTGACTATACTCAAAAATCTTCAGTCACTCTCTATTATTTCTCAGATAAAATACAAACTCTTCCAGCTATTTAAGGCCATTTACTGTCCAGCTCCAGTCTGACTATAAAGCCTTATTTCACAACAGTCCCCTTCATATTCCAGCCAAACTGGACCATGGTTATTCCCCAAAGTCAATGTTCCATATTTCACCTTCATGTACTTCCACAAGATGTCCCCCATGCTTGGAATCCTTCCTTATTTCTACCTCTAAGGATCCTTATTTTTCTTCAAGATGCACTCTAAAGCCATGTTTCTCCCACGCCCCATGAAGTCTTCCCTGGTTCCTTCTAGTTAGTATCTCACTCTCCTCTGTCTATCTCTGTCTCTGTCTGTCTTTCTCTTTTCTCTCTCTCTCTGTCTTCTCTCTCTCTCTCTCTCTCTCTCTCTCTCTCTCTCTCTCTCTCTCTCTCTCTCTCTCTCTCTCTCTCTCTCTCTCTCTCTTCTCTCTCTCTCTCCCTTCCTGCTGCCCTCCCTCTCTCTCCCTCCTCAGTTATGTTACATTATTGCTTATACATATTGTATCCTACCACTATAATGTTAGCTCCTTGAGGAGAAGAATTCTTTAGTTTCGTTTTTTGTATATTTGGCCCCTAACTCAGTGCCTGGCACATATTAGGTGCATCATAAGTGTTTGATGAATAAAACTGAATAGAGATCATTCAGTCTTTTGTCCCCTGAGTTTACAGATGAGACAACTATGCCCCAAACAGATTCAGTGATTTGCCCAAGGTCACACTGCACCTTAGCATCAGATCTAGGAATAGAACCTAGATTTCTTGACTCCCAAGCAAATGATTTTAATCCAGCATGAAGAATTTAAATCAGCCCTTCATTTTAGCTAGCGAGTTAAATCAAATTACTACTACATATGGAAAAGTTCTAAACACAAAAAAGAAAAAAGTAAATCTCTTGTCAATCAAACCAAACACTTTTTTAATGAATTTTCCTTCCGTTACATTAGACTATAGGCAATCTTACTTGATAACTGCAAAATTTTCTTTGCTGACAAATCTCACATCAAAAAAGTAATGTGTCAGCACCATAACATGAGTTTTCATGACCACAGTTTAAAAATGATTCAGTTGAGGGAACTCAGTCTGTTTCTTGACAAGCAGCAGCAAAAATTATGCTGCCTAGAGGTGGGTCAGACTCATTTGGGTTGCTTACCAGCACAGTAGCAGGGCCACTGGCGCAAGGATCCTCTTTGTTCTGCCGATCCAGAAATTACCAGCTGAAGACTGGCATGCTAAACAAAGAAGACACAGGGACATTGTTCTGCCCCATGGCATACCATATCTTAAGAAGCCCAGAGGGATAGAAAGCATGTTCTTATCAAAATATTGACAACGAGTTGTGAACAACCCTGTCAAGCTCCATCTGACATAACTGAATGAAAGACAAACCTAACATCTGGGTATTATCCTAATTTAACAATTTTATAATACTAGCGATGGGTCACACCACTTTTTTGTCATGATAGTCACAAAAATGTATTAAGCACTCACAGTGTTTGTAACCCTGGGCCAGGTTCTGAGAAAGCAACAAAGTCTTTGCCCTCATGGAGCTACCAGTCTCACAGAAGTATAAGACGCTAACACAGACAGTGACGCTTATGGTCACAGTTACATTGCAGTGGGTGACGCATGCTAAGTACATGAGAGAGCAGCCAGATCACTGCTCTGAACTATCCACGGATAAAGTCTATTATTGTCTTTTTCTGTTGCTTCACACGCTGCTATCCAGTCTGTGAGACATCCTCAAAGTTCAGAATGTTGCTATTTAATGCCTCCTGAGAAAGGCCTTTATGCACATTCCTCCAAAGGGCAGACTTGTAAAGCAGAACAGAGGGTGAGGTCTCACACTTTCAGGTTTGACATTTCCCATTGCACTTTAAAAAGTAAGGAGATATTTAATAGGATGCCCAGAACCATTGGACCAAGTCAACCCCCATAGACTTCTATAACTTCTCTTCACTTTTTTTTTTTTACTTTTAAAAGTATCAATTTCACTGATAAACCACTTGCCATGATGGAGAGTAAGAGGGCTGAGAACTTGGGTGATTCTGCTGATTGTAAATCTTCCCCCAGAACATTCCTAGATTGAAATCCTAGTGACTGCTTTGGAATTCTAACACTCTCTAATTGGCATAGCTGGCAATGATTCATCAGTCACATTCGGTCTTTTGCCAGAGAATAAGGGAGATGCCTGGGGAGGCACATTCTCCCTAGTAAATCACTGAAATGCTGGAACATCTGCTGTCCATTCTAATCCTAAGAAGAAACCTTTTCCTAAGGACAAACAGCCCACTCACATTGTTCCTCGATGCATCAGCAATTAATGTCTGTAACAAGAGGAGAGAACTGTTTGCAAATCAATCAATCAAACAATAAACAGTTTTAGAGCACATACTATGTGTTAGGCATTGTGCTATGTGTAGGGAATCGAAAGTTAAATAATCCATGCCCTCAAGGAGCTTACAGTCTAGCTGGCATAAACAATAAGTGCAGTATTTTGTGTATGTGGATAAAAAATAGATGGTAATTCTTTGGGGGAAAGCACAATGGTACTATACTTGAATTGAGCTTTGAAAGAAACTAAAGATTCTAAAATATGGAGGAAAGGAGGTATAAAATAGCAGTTATTATTAATAACAATTATAATTTCATTTATTATAATTAATGTATTGTAGTTGATAACACTTTAAGATTTGCAAAGTGCCTTACATATGCTAAGGCACTGTGCTAAGCACCAGGGATGCAAAAAGAGGCAAAAGATAGTCCCTGCCCTCAAGAAGCTTACAATCTAATGGAGGAGGCAACATGCAAACAAATATATACAAAGCAAGCTTTATACAGGAAAATGGGAACAAGTTAACATAGGGAAGGCACAACAACTCTGAGAGATAGGTGCTATTTTTATCCCTGTTTTACAGATGAGGAAACTGAGGCTGAGATCAGGTAAGTGATTTGCCAGAGGTTAAGTAGCTAGAAAATACCCGAGGCAACATTTGAACTTGGGTCTTCTTGACTCCAACTACAGCCCTCTTACCTACATGTCAGATATGGAGGCAGATCATAAAGTATCTCATATGAGGACAATATGAAGGCTAGTTTGGTTGGACTACTGTGTGCATGAAGGAGAATAGTGTGTAATACGGTGAGAAAAATAGATTAGGGTTATATTGCAAAAAGCTTTAAATTTCAGACAGTGGAGTTTATATTTAATCCTAGTGGTAATAGTGAGCCACTGGAGTTTATAGAGTAGGAGAATGGCATGGTCAGACCTGTACTTTATTTTTATTTTTATTTTGTTGTGAGGGCAATTGGGGTTAAGTGACTTGCCCAGAGTCACACAGCTAGTGAGTGTTATGTGTCTGAGGACCGGATTTGAACTCAGGTCCTCCTGACTTCAGGGCTGGTGCTCTTTCCACTGCGCCACCTAGCTGCCCCAGACCTGTACTTTAGAAAAAGCACTTTGATGTTTGGAAGAAATTAACTCAAATGTCTGGAATGGACAGTAACCCCTGATCCAATGAATCTGCCAGGTCAGTTCCAGGTCATAGATGAGCAACAAGTTGGGGTACTTGAACTGCCTTATCGAGGAAGCTCAGTGAGCCTATTCCTGGTACTCCCTCGGCACAAAGCAACCCCTCTGGCCCTTCTCGAGCCATACCTCACAGCCAGTGCCATTCACATCTGGATGAACAGCCTGAAGAGAATAAAGATGGATGTTTTCCTACCCAGGTAAGTGGTTTTGATCTGAAAAAGGGGGAAGTGGGGAATCCATAACAGACCCTGTCCATCTGGACCCTGTGGGAAATTTGATGCTTTCTAAAGCCTAGTCACTCATTTCTAACTCCCCAGGACACCATATAAGCTTCTCCCAGGGGAGTAACCTATTAGAGCCATTGTGGCAGCAGAGAAGGAGAGCCTTCATTTCTTTCTCTTGATGTTTTCATTGATCACCTTCACCTTCGTATTACCTTCAGTTATAGAAAAAAAGTAGCCCCAAAGGTTAAGTCTAGAATGGTTGTGTTTTTCTTGTTGCTGTTTTTAAAGGGAGCAACCAAAATTATAATGACCAAGTTTGGCCTAATGAAAAGAAGTAAGAATTTGCCTCCCTCCCCTCTTTGCAGAGGTGGGGAGCTATAAGGGTAGGATGCTGCATATAATATCAGACCTGGATAATAGGTTGCTTAGTTTTGCTGAACTGTTTCATTTTCCTTTTATTTTAAGTCTTTGTTTTAAGGGATGGCTCTCTGGGTGAGGAAGGGGAGATTAGGAAATGGAGGTGATTTCAAAATAAAAGATAGCAATACTGCTATGTGTTCATATAATTCGACACATAGACCTTGGTACACATACACAAAAACCTGATTTTTAAAATTTTGTCTAGTTAGTACTTTCAATTTGATGCATATAAATAGATTATGGCATATAACTATCAGCAAGAGGAAGGTTAAGCTCAGAAACCTAGAGACTTGTAGAGCTAGAAGAGACCTAAGATTGTACAGTCTCATATTGCAGAAGGGGAAATTATGGGTCAAGGAACTTACTTGACTCGCCAATAGAGTATAGGTTCCTTGACCTTGAGTGCAGAGACTATTTTCACTTTTATTTTCTGCATCTCTACAGTCTAGCACAGTGGCCAGTACTTAAATAATGCTTGAGGAATTAAATCAATATGCTCAGTAGCAAACAATGAGTTAACAGAAGAGCAAGGAGTAGAGCCCAGGTCTCCTGACTCCCAGAAGTCCATTCTCTTTCCACTATGTCATACAAAGACAACCTGAAAGCAACTCATTATATGCCTCCATTCTTACCAGAGGCCAATGTGAGTGAAGAAAAAAAAAAGTCAGTCAATAAATATTTATTAAGCACCTACTGTGTGCTAGACACTTCTCAGCACTGGGAATACAAAGAAAGGCAAAAGCCAGTCCCTGCTGTCAAGGAGCTCACAGTCTAATGGGAGAGATAATAGGCAAACACCTACGTACACACAAGTTATGTGCAGGATGAATGGGAAGAAATCAACAGAGAGAAGGCACTAGCATTAAGGAGGATAGAGAAGGTCTTCTTGCAGCAGGTGGGAAGCCAAGAGGCAGAGATGGGGAGGAAGGATAGGGAGCCACTGGAATTGATTAAGTAGGGAGGCAACATATGCTTCAGGAAGCCCAGTCTGAGGGCTGAATGAAGAACGAACTGGAGTGGAGAGGGACTTGAGGAAGGAAGACCAACTAGTCAGTGAGCACTTACTAAGACCAACAATGTGTTGAGGCTGTACCCAGGCTAGTGTCAGGACTTGAATCCAAGTCATTCTGGTGTTAAGGCCAGCTCTCTATCCAAATCGTAGAAGAATAAAAGAAGCTAAACAAATGAAAAAATTATAAATATAAAATAATTTAAAAGGCTAACTTTCCCAATCCCCCTTAATGTCAGTACTTCCCTTCTGTGGATTATCTCCCTTTTATCCTGTATATAGATTAATTATACTTAGTTGTTTGCGTGTTGCCTCCCCCATTAGACCATGAGAGTGGGGACTGTCTTCTACCTTTCTTTGTGTCCCCAGCATTTAGCAGAATGCCGGAAACGGAAGAGCTGCTTAATAATTGCTTCTTAACTGACTTACTAGTCTCCTCTGTTGACTGCTTGCTCATCTCCTTCAGGGGAAAGCAGAATCTTTGGGGGCCTTGGCGGTGATCTCTTAGAAGCTAACAATAAGACTATGAACTTCTGCAGAAACATACAGACACACAGGGAGTTAAGCCTTAAGGTCTAACATGGAGTTAGCCAGTATTGGTACAAAGGGTAAGCCTACCTCTGAAATAAAGCCTTCGTGTGCCCCTCAGAACTAAATATACGTGCCACAAAATGAAAGCAACAACCCCGGCATTTTGGTCAATCTCTCAAGAGGTGTTCTAGAATGTAACATAAAGGAGTTTAGCCCTACCCACGAGAGGGAATCAGAGCAGTTGGTAGAAAAGATTTTGATGGCAGAGGCTAAGAGAAAATGTCCTCCTACGTCCAGAATCTTCAATAGTAAGTTGAATACCAAAAATGGAAACAAAGCAGAAGGCCATCATTTGGTGAATGGCTAAACAAACTGTGGTAGTGAATGTAATGGAATATTACTGTACTGTAAGAAATGATGAATACAGAGAAGTGTGGATGGATTTATACCATCTGATACAGAGTGAAGTAAGCAGAGACAAGAAAAAAATATATATACAATGACTACAACAATGTAAGTGGAAAGAAAAACCACAAAGTGATCTAAGGTGAATGATGCATTAAAATTACAAAGAATAAGCATGTCTCCAAAGAATAGATATGAGCTAACACTCCCATCCCACTCCTTTGCAGAGGTGGGAGGCACACAGTTGTGATATATTGCACCTATTTTCAGACTTTTAAAATATATTGGTCAGTTTTGCTGATTTTTTTCTCTTCTTTTTCTTTGGTTTCTTTACAAATATTGTTATATGGGATGGCTCAGGGAGGAGGGCACCAGAGGAAATTTTGGTGATAAACAAAAGACATCAATAAAATTTAATATTAAAAAAGTAAATTGAATTTTAAATTGGCAGTGAAAATGAGCCTGTAACAGCTAAGCAGAGGGAGGAGCCCTAGGGAAATGTAAAGTTTCAAAGAGCCCACTGGCTTGACCGTACTTTGGTACAGCTTCAGCAAAGCTGTTCGGAAGACTCTTCTAATACTTCTAGAGTGATCTTGATAGATGGGAAAGGAAACCGGACATACTGGTGTCTTGGGTTTAGATCAGCAGTCTCTTTATTTCATCTTAATGAGTTACTCTTCAAAACAGCATTCTCCTAAGAGGCCAGGCCCTTTAGCACAAGAGCAGGAACAAAACATGCTCATCAAAAAAAAATTTTTAAAGCAAAACTGGTCTACTTCTCACACAAAATCAACCAAGTTTTAACATTGACTTTAAAGTGGGGAAGAAGGAGGATAGTTTTATTCAAAGCCATCCTCAGCTGCATGCTTCAGGCTGGCCTTATCCCTGAAGCTTTGGAAAAAAATGCAAATGTAGATGAACCCTTTACAATTTGGGTACCTCTGAATCTAGGGAAAGAAATGATGGCTGTGAGAATTCAGAGAAACACAGGAAGATTTGTATCAAGATCTGAAATGAAACAAGCAGAACCAAGAGAACAATATATACTATTACTGTAACATTGTATATGAATAGAACAGTAAAAGGAATTTGAACCCTGAGTAATGGAAAAAACCACTGGAGATGTGAGAGAAGCAAAAACAAAGCATACCTTCTCCCTCGTGGCAGAGAAGTGGTTGGTGACTGGGAAAGAATACTGTATATGTTATCATTTTTCTTTGTAACAGTGTAGGGGTCAATCTGGGCAAGGGGTGGAACATGAAGAATGTGACAGATAAACGACAGGTTAAGACAATGGATAACAATCAGACATTTAAAAAAAGTAGGAAAAAAGCCAAACATGATTCAGACCAATAATGAAGCATGCTACCCTCCTCCTGACAGAGAGGAGATATTCTTGGGGTATATACATTGAGACATTTTTTGGCCACGGCCAGTGAAGTGTTTTGCCAGACCCTGCATATGTCACAAGAGTTTTGTTTTGTTTTTTCAATGTGGGTGGTGGAGTAGTGGAAGAGAGAAAATAGATTTTATTAATTGAAAAAAAATTAAGTTAAAAAACACTATATGAAAAGCATTAGGAATACAAAGACAAAAATGACAGCTGACCAAAGAGGTGAGATTTGTCTAATAAGAATAGGCAAACAAAATTGGGTATTCAGTCATTTACTCATTTAGCAAACATTTATTGAACATCTACAGTGTGTTAAGTACAGAGGGAGATGGAAATGTAAATAAGACACTGTACTTAAAAGTCTACAAAGGGGGATATGATTAATCTAGAAATCATTATAACACAAAGCAAAATATGACCAGTGCTGGAAGAAAGGTACAAAACATTATGTGAATTCAAAGGAAGGAGAAGACATCCAGTTGGATTGACCAGATCTCATGATGAAAGTAACACTTGAGGCGAACAGCATGAGCAAAGGTGTGGAGGTACGAAAGAACAAGAGAATAACAACTAATTGAGTCTGGCTAGAACATGAAATGAATTCATGTAAAGAAGGTAGTCTAGGGCCGGATTGAAGACAGCCTTGAATACCTGGGTAAGGAGCTTGATTTGAGACTCTTTGGGATGTAAGAAGAAAATATTTTAAAATAAAAGTTGTACTTTGTTTTAGGTTCAGGATCGAAAACCACTTCAATATGAAAGATGTTTTAAGTTCTTTGGGGATCACGGATCTGTTTGATCCATTCAAAGCTAACTTAAAAGGAATTTCAGGTAAGAAATGTTCTTCTGTCACTCCTGGGTTCTGAATCAGTTTCAGAATATTTTGATTTGAAGTTAGAGCTGTGTCACACACAGCAGAGCCTTCTTTGTTAACCAGATATTGTGTAACTGGAAGAAATATGTTCTGTGGGTTGTCATAGCCTACTGATAATATGCTGCATATCCTATGCAAAAATTGTACTGATTGCTTACAAATTTGGGGTTTCATTTGAGGAATTAAATGTAGCTCTACCTATCTTCACCCTCCTCCTGGAATTTTTGGAGGCTGCTTCCTTTTCTAGGTCAATGGCTTTAGGTACCACTATAATTCACCTCTGTAGTCACCTCTATATAACTTACCACCTATAATTCATTAGTGATGTCACACAACAGAAGCACTTTTAAAATACCAGATATTTTTTTAGTGCATTTTCCCTGATATCACCCAGCTCCCACTCTTTCTTTGTTCTTGTCCCTTCTCCCCTCCCCCTTGCAGCTCTTCAATCCCCTAACCATGCTGTAAGCTTGAAACGTTCATTTGTCTGTTAATCTTCTCTCTTAACAAAATAACCATAGTTCTTGTAACTTTTCCCTAAAAGATTCTGTTTCCCAGCTAAATAAGTGGATTTCATTATCCCTCTACATCACCGTAACTTAATCAATACATCCCGCTACTTGGTGAGGCCACATTCTCTGCCAGGCTCAAGATGGCACAAGACTACCAAAACCCAGTCAACTAGGACCATAATCCCTCTCTTATGAACCTGATGACAAAACTAATTTTCACTTTTAAGAAGCCTTGTTGCTGTTCATTTCAGTCATGTCCAACTCTTTGTGACCCCATTTGGGGTCTTCTTGGCAAAGATACTGGAGTGGTTTGCCATTTCCTTCTCCAGTTCATTTTACAGATGAGGAAACTGAAGCAAACAGGGTTGAATGACTTGCCCAAGGTCACACAGCTAGGAAGTATCTGAGGCCACATTTGAACTTAGGAAGATGTCTTCCTGACTCCAGGCCTGGCCTTTTACTATGCCACCTAGCTGCCCCCTTTAAGAAGCTTTAGAATCAGAGTATGTTAGATCTGGAAGGGACTTTACAAGTCATATATTGAAGTCCACCTCATTTTACAAATGAAGAAACTGAAGAAGAGAAGTGACAACTTAGGCAACTCAGTTAGTGGTGGAGCCAAGAGTATAAATGGTGCTTTCCACCATACTGCACTGCCTCTGGAGAATATATTTCTATGGAAAGAAGTCACAATGATGGCATTTTCTTTGTCTTTGATGCTAATCCTTCCCAGTGAATTTCAGAGTAGTTGAACATTAGCACATCTGGGGGAAGATTTCCCAGACTTTGAAAACTGGTCTTCAAGTAATTTAAAGACAACATGCTATACTCCTCTAGGGTACTTGATATAACCTGCCTGGAAAGATTGCTTTTAAACTTAAGAAGGTTCTTTAAAATCCACTAATCCTGAACTCAGTACCCAAAGTAAACAAAAGCAATAGACAATAGTAGAGAGTGCAGAGAAAAGAGCGGACAGAAAGCCCAGTATAGCACTTGGCACACACTAAGTTGTATAATATTGTTGACTAACTGGCCAATCTAACTAGTGGTTTTGTTTAGCTTTTTTCCTGATGAGGCACGGCCAATCTGACACAGCAGAGAAAAAGAGGCAGAAAGGGAAGATTGGTAAATGGCTAGAATTAGATAAGGGAAGAGAAATTTCTCATTTATAGAATGAAGGGGTTGGACAAGATCATATAAGGTCCCTCCTGAGTCTAGGATATTAAAAGTCTCTGAATCCTGGTACATTCTGACATTAAATTAATGACAACCAAATGATATTCAAAGGTCAGACAAGTAATTTATTCTCTAAGTTAAGAGCTTCTGTATAAATGCTTTCATCAGATGCAGCTACTTATGTCACATGGGACCAACCAATCATATTCCATTAGCAGAATGTAAGCTTCTTGAGGGCAGAGGCTGTCTCATTTTTATACTTGTTTCCCTAGTACCTCTAGTATAATGTCTGCTAAAAAAAAACCCATGTTCAAAGTTTTGGAGACCTACACTGAGATATTTTAATCTGGAGATTTAATCTGGGATTTATTAAGTAGGTATTTAATAAATGCTTAATAATTTGAAATTGGTCATTTTCTGCATTTATTGAACAGTCACAATAGATAAGGATTTGAAGCTTTCACTTCTGACTTTTTTTCAGCCTTTAGTTCTAAAAAAGGCCTTTCTAGAATATATGGCTAAATGACCAGTGGGGCACCCCATGTTCTAACAAAACAACCTTAGGCCCTATAGCTCATCCTTAATAAAAATAAAATCCTCTTCCCTAATTTTTTTTTTGGAAGAAAAGGAAGCCATTAACAACTTAATATGTAGATATCCATGTTAGATACATTTCTTTTGCTTTGTTTTGTTTTTATTTATTTGTATATTCTCAGAAAAGAACATAAGTAGGAACTCCAACTAGAATAGGAAAATAACTGGTGAGAAGCTGATTAAATAATATAGATCTGTTTAAGTCCAGAAAACGTGGTGAATACGCTCTTAATGATGTGCTTAAGGTCATCAAAGAGCCATTTTATTGCCCTCGGTCAAATGTATCTATAGAACCAAAGGCATGTATGGTCAACACTACTGATGCCAAAAAGCAGCATTCTTTCTTTCCCTCCTCTTTTCTTGACTTGTTTTTTCTCTTTTCTTCTTGCCTTTTTCTTTTCTTTCCACTTTGTTGCAGTAAGTGATTGGAGAGGTTTGGGTGTCATGAAACACATCCATTTTGGCCACTACCCAACATAAAAGCTTATTAAGGATGGGTTTAGTACAGTGTTTCTCAAAGTGTGGTCTATAGACCCCTGGGGATCCTTATCAACCTTTTAGGTGGTTCATGGGTGCAAAACTATTTTCTTTTTTTTTAATTTTATTAATTTATTTTGATTTATCAACAATCACTTCCACATGCTTTTGAGTTGAAAATTTTTCTCCCCCTTCCTCCCCCACACCTTCCCCAAGACACACACAATCTGATACAGGCTTTACATTTACATTCCTATTAAACATATTTTCACACCTAATTCTTCTTTAAAGTCCCCTCTTTAAATATAACTAATCAACCAACAGGATTCAACTTTGTGTCTCTCACTTGAGTCCAGAATTCTCTGCACTCCCACTATGACATACCTAGCCTCCCATCTGGCCAGGATCTCATGGAAAATCAGTAGCCCTAAATAACCAGAACCTACACTGTATGATGGTTATGACAAACAGTAATCCTCAATTCTTTGGGGTTTAGTCCTGTGGGGGGTTTGTTCCTCTTCATTTTCTCTATCATCCCAACATGTTCTTACAGCTCAGCTACCTCTGGAGAGCTCCTGGTCCCAGGTGCCTCCCTCAGTTTCAGAGAAGTGCCAATCCCAACTGCAAGCTGCCCCTGCCTCCCTGATGTTCTCTAGCATTGCCTGAGGGAGGCAGCTGAGGTAGTTACAACAGCAGCAGGTGTGGGAGACAGACCCGCGACAGCTAAGGCCTCTTGGGGACTAATCCAACCACCACCTCTGCTGAAGAAGCTATCATCCCAAGGCCCATTGTTCCTACTGAGACATGAGAATGCAGCAGGTGCATCTATGAACAAGGAAGAAGTTCACTCTTTTTAAGAAAACAAAACTCTCCGGTTCCTTGCATACCCTGAGATTTCAAATAATCCCCAATGACAGTGGTTTCCCAGTGCTTTTAGATTATGGATCGTTCTGGCGGACAAAAGAGCTCAGAGACTGCTTGTTGCTTACCACCACATACAAAAGCAGAGAAGGTTGGAATAGCAAGTCCTGACATTTCTACCTTTATGATTTCTCTCATATACTGCCCCTTTTCTTCTCTGACATTGCAACCACCCTGCTGCAGGCCCCCATCATCTCACACCTGGACTACTGCAGTGGCTTTCAGGTCAATCTCTCTTCCTCAGTTTGCTCCCCATTGAATCAGTTGTCAAATGGATCTTCCCAAAGTGCAAGTCTGACCATATCACCTCCCTATTAAGTAAACTCCAGTGCTTCGTATCACCTCCAGGATCAAAAATAAATTCTTCTGCTTGGCTTTTAAAGCCCTTCATACCCTAACCCTTTCTTACTTTTCCAGGCTTTTTCAACCTTACAGCCCCCCACATATCATATCATCCAGTGACACCAAGCTCCTTGTTCTTCCTCACACACGAGACTCCAGCTCCCAATTTCTAGTATTTTCTCTGGCTACCTCTCATGCCTCCAAAGTTCTCCCTCCTCCTAGCTTCCTTGGCTTTCTTCTGGTCACACCTTTTGCAAGAAGTCTTTCCCAGTCTTCTTTCGTCTTAATGTCTTCCCTCCAAGACTGCCTTCATCTTATCCTGTATATGTCTTGTTTGTACACAGTTGTTTGCCTGTTGTCTTCCCCATTAGACTATGAGCTACTTGACAGCAAGGACTGTTTTTTTTTCCTGTTGTTTTTTTGCTTTTCTTTGTATCTCCAGAGTTTGGAGCTTGGCATATAGTAGGTGCTTAATAAATGCTATTTGACTTGACTTCCAGCCACATAGCATCACTGGGAGGATATTTGGGCTAAAAGGGTGTTTTTTGGTGATAGCAAGAAGGTTGGAATCGGGACAGGTAGATGGTGCAATGGATAGAGCACCGGCCCTGAAGTCAGGAAGACCTAAGTTCAAATCTGACCTCAGACCAAACACTTGACACTTACTAGCTGTGTGACCCTGGGCAAGTCACTTAACCCCAACTGCCTAAAAAAATTAAATAAAATAAAAAAAGAAGGTTGGAATCATTAAAGGGACTGTACATATTATTAAATACAGCAAATAAGTAACTTCTACCAGAAACAAAATGTAGATAATGACATATTAATATTAGAAATGACCAGTACCTGGATCAATTGGATGACTCTTAGAGCTTACCACTTGTCCCAAGATCACACACTGAAAACTGCTTCCATAGAACAAATGGCTAAATGATTTGAGGGGCACTATGACAGCCTTTTAGAGTAAGCAGTAGCAAAATGTGTACTGACTGTGGTAGTACCACTGGCCTCAGAACTCTGGCCATTATTGAGACTACTTGACCCTTTCTGTTTCATTCCAGGAATGTTTCATTTGGGATTTCCTTCCTCATTTACTACTGGGTCATTCATTTCTTTTCTTTCCTTTGCTCTGCCCAAAGACCTCACTCAACATTACTTTGAAGCTCCACAAGTGTGTCATTTTGCCCCAAACTGTCTTTGAACCCCTGAATTACTATGTTTTTAAGCATACCATCTTATACATGCATACCAACCTTCATTTTTCTAGGCGTTTTCTAAATCTAAGAAATTATTACATCTAAATATGCTTGAATTTCCCAAGAGACTATCAAATGTTTAAATTTAAAAGTGCATGATTAATTTCCAATTCCCACCCACTGAGGAAATGCTCAAAACTTCATTGCTGTTTCCTATGACTTAAATAAATGGCCAGACCACAGTCAGTTGCCTGGGTTGTTGAGGGAGTTACGATCTCATTCATGTCTGATGGCTTTTGAAATGGGCAGTGGTAAGAAAGGAAAGAATTATGGTCTGCCTTTAGACAACTAGGTTCTACGTGTTCTTAGCAGTTCATCTCTGGGTCATGGCCTAGGTGGTACACGATTCCCTTTCAGGGAATAAGTGACAGGGTAAAGACAGGAAAGATAAACTAGAAGTCTTGGCAATTACTTAAAACACACACATATATCTTTGAAAATTTAAAAATGATTTAAGGAAATTGAAAGATAAAAGTAATATTTAATTCTGTGTTTATCCTGCTCCTTGAGATAGTTGAAAATTACATGAAAGACTGTTATGGACACAGAATCCTAGCGTTAAAAATCTTGTGTTTACGTGTCATTTCATCTCAAACTTCCTTATACGTTATGCAATAATAGATGATAGGCTCGGAGTCTTCCACTGACAAAGGAAAAAAACAAGCACTGAGACAATGATCTGGAGCAGAGCCAGCAGAGACATCTCTGTGTTGCCAGATAGAGCCAACTCCAGTATAGGAACAACTATCCAGCATAAATTGTGTAGGTGAAATAAGGTCACCTATAGGTAAAATCAGGCCAAAAGGAACATCAAAAATGTAGGATTGGGGGGGGGGCTGTTTTTAATTTTTATTGAAGGTGGAAAGGAGGCATATAAGAGCAACATCAGGGAAGGTGTGGAAGGGAAGAGGAAGATTCCACCCTTTTGCTTCAGTGATGATGCACCTTTATGGTGGGATACATATGTGCCCAAGAAGGTGTAATAGAAGAATGCTGAGCTCCAAGAGAGAAGATCTGGGTTCAGGTCCCCATTATGGTGCTCCTTAGTTTTGTAACTTTGAGGCAGGCCATTATAGCAGAAAGAACATTGGGTCTGAGTAAAGACCTCAGTTCAAATTCTAGCTCAAAATCACTGACTATGATTTTGGGTGAGTCATTTCATTTCTCTGAGTATTAGTTTTAGTTTCTTTACATATAAAATAAGGGGATTAGATGAGATCGCTATAAACCTCTCTGGTCCTCAATTTCTTCATCTACAAAATAGGGATGATAAAATTTGTACTACTTACCTCAATTTATACTGCTTACCTCCTATTCTTGGGAAAAGAGCGCTTTATAAACTGGCTTGCCAAATGAATGGGAGCCATTATTATTATTTATCACCACCTATATAGATAGGCTTTCTGGATACAGTTAGCCCACCCTTGTTACAGAGTTCCTGCCCTGGCCACAGAATTTTCCCTTTTCTAGACTAGAAGCACTTGGGTTGGAGCTTGGGAACCAGATCAGAATCAGATCAATTCTCTGCCTCCACCTAGCCTTGGAATCCAAGCTCACTTTGAGACTCCCCATGAGAACCAGGAGTGAAGTGACTGACCAATGCATTTATATGGCACAGTTAACAAGCAGACTTGAGTCTTCTGCAACATTCACAAAAAGCAAGACTAGAATGAAAAAGGTGAAATGCAGACCAAAAAAAGTCACATTTCCTTGTTTCTCATGAGATACTTCTGATAACTAAGAATCAAGAGGTAAGACACAGCCAAAATGGTGGAACAGGAGGAAGCAGTAAAGGAGAGGCTTACAGCAGGTAATCTTCTTCAGCCCAAGATCACAAATTTAACCTATAGGCAAGTGGCCAGGGCAGGAACTCTGTAACGAGGGTCGGCTAACTGTGTCCAGAAAGCCCATCTAAGCCTACAGCACAGGACATCCACAGCAGATAGATTTTAGACTCAGGTCAAGCCCAAGGCAGAACCTTAGGCCCTGGAGCATGAACTCAGCATCCAGAGCACCCAGTGTGTGGTCACCCAGATGACCCCAGAGCAGATCATAGGTGCAGTTCCCTCCCCTGGAAAGTAGTACAGTGTTCTACCAGAGAGGCCAGGATTACAGACAGCCCCCAAAGAGCTCCTATCTCCAAGCCATCTCTGGAAGAATGAATAAACAACAATAGATAAAGGATTATTATGAGGTCAGGAGTACCTCACAGTACAAACCCAGAAGATGAGATAACTCTAAAATAGTCATAAAACCTAAAATAGAGGCAGAGCTTGACCACAAGATCAAATAGAATTTCTAGAATAATGCAAGCGTTAAAAATGAGTTTTAAAATGGTATTATAAATTAAATGAGAGCAATAGAGGAAAGAATTTGAAAATAAATGAGAGCTATGGAGCAGACTTGGACAATTAACAGCTTTTTACAAGAGATACAAAAATCTTTCCCAAGTAACAGACTCCTTCAAAATTAGAATAGAACAGAATCCAATAACTCCATGAGCCCACAAGAAATATAAAACAAAATGAGAAGATTGAAAAAACAGAAGAAAATGTAAGACATCTCACTGCAAACTGACCTAGAAAACAGTTCAAGGAGCGATAATTTAAGAATCATTGTACTACCTAAAAGCAATGACCAAAGAGAAAGATGGGGGGGGGGTGAGGCATAAGAGAGACAGAGACACAGAGAGAGACAGAGAAAGCCTGCATATTATATTTCAAGAAATCGGGGTGGGGGGAGGGTGGTGGGGGGGAACCTGCTCAGTGCTCAGAATCAGACAGCAAATTAAAAATAGAAAGAATACAATCATTACCTCCTGAAAGAAAACCCAAAATGAAAACTCCTAGGAACATCAAAGCCAAAATCCAGAGTTCCCAGGTCAAGCAGAAAAAAAAATTAAAACTTCTAGAAATAAAAGAATTTAAGTACTGAAAAACTGCAGTGAGGATCAAATAAGAATTAGCAGCTATGCCTATAAAGGAAAGGAAAGTACATGATAGGATATTCTAAAAGACAAAAGCCTAGATGCTTACAACCAAAAATAATTTACTCAGCGAAACCAAGTATAATCCTACAGGTCTAAACATGGAGCTTTAATGAAATAGAGAACTTCTAAGCATTCCCAATGAAAAGACCAGAACTTAGTAAAATTTTGAAATATAAGTATGGGAATAAAGAGAAACATAAAAGGTAAATACAAGTAAGTAATTAAAAAGGACTTTGTAAGGATGAGGTGTTTGAATTTTAATGGGTAAGGAAGGGAATGATACAGCATCCTCTAAGAACCACTAAGTCAGTATAGAGGAAGTCAAATAAGATAGAAAGCCTGGGAGTGATTTTTGTTATGTTTGATTATCTTAAAATGAGAAACTAAAGGGAAAGGAAAAACAGATACATTAGGGAAGAAATGTAGAGAAAGGGAAGGATTTATATCTTACATTATCAGGGTGGGATATGAACAGAAGTCTATACAAAGAAAGGGTAGGAAAAGTTGGTATCACTTAAATATCACTTTGAAATGATGCAGAAGCAAGCAGAATCAGGAAAGCAATTTACACTATAATAATATTATAAAAATAAACATTTTTGAAAGACTTAAGAACTCTAATCAATGCAATGATCAACCATGATTCCAGAGCTCCAATGATTTAGAATACTGCTCATCTCCAGAGAGAGAGAGGGGTGATGGACTAGATATGAACAGTGAGACATGCATTTTTGGACATAGTCAACGTGAGAATGTGTTTGTTTCACTGTGGTTTTTGTTACAGAGGTTCATTTTTTCTTTTTCTTTTTTCAATAGAAAGGAAAGTGGGAGGTGAGAGGAAGAGAGGGCAGATGTTTATTGATGAAAAAAATAAAATTTAATGTATTAAAAATACTCAAGAAGGATTCCATCTTGCTATCTAGTTACAGCAAGTGCATGATTCAGTGAAAACAGGGATTGAGAAATGCAATCTTTTTCATGGTTCTAACTGTACCAAATAGGTTAAAGCTTATTCTCCAAGCAAGATTGGTTACATCTCTTCGTCAGGGTGCTAGGGTATCCTGAGGGGTCTGCAGGGTTGTTTCTTTCTTTACTGACACTGGCTTAAACTCCCGCCAGCTGTGTCACCTTTCTACCCCAACTTTTAGGGGCCAGTGATTAACACCCTACTTTCATTTAATCATTTAACATTGATCAGATTTAACAAATAGATGTTTACTTCATAGATAGAACAAGAACAAACATACAGACATTTTCCCCAATACCTCAGGGGCATGCTCTTCCCACACCACCTTGGTCTCTGAGGGGAAATGGGCTCAAAACCTAGTCCAGTTCCTACACAACATCGGTCCCCATCAAAGTTCATGTCCAAAAGTGGCATCTCTGCTGTAGAAGTTCTTGTCTCAGCTACCACTGGGCTGGGCTCCCAAAGGTCACTCCTTGCTTCTTGAGGCATCAGTTTGGCACTGGCCCTGGACCCCAGACTCTGGATGCCAGAGCCTTTACCTGACCTTTTAAACTCACATGGTCAGAGGCTCCAATCTCCTTCTCCTAAAAGGAAAAACAAAAACAAATGCAGAGGTCAAAGACCAAAGCACTTCTATAGGGCCCTATGGCCACAGAAAGGAGAAGGCTCCGTGGCTTCCCCCAACCCATACAGCCTTGTTTCACTAAGGCTGCTATGAAAGGAGTCAATGAATGAGGTAAACAAAAGATAGGTGAAGCAGATAGGCCTTTTTGAATACCTCTAAGATTCATCAAAGAACCTCTTCTTAGACAGGTGCCCACCTGCACCAGTTAGACAATGTCTCTGAATGCTCTGAAGTCTATCCAAGGCACTTTCCTTACATGTTAGTTGTGACTATTCCAGAAGCAGGCCCCCAGCCTCTTCATGTGAAGAGATGACATCCAAGGAATGCCGTGTATGTGTCACAGTCCAATGGCATAACCCACTGGGGACAGTTAGTATTTCAGAGAGGAGAATGAGAACCTTTATTTATATATTTATTTTTGTATTCAGAACATAATGGAGAACAAAACTGGTATCAGGGGCACTTGGATTCTTGAAAGGATCTTGTAATATTATCTTAAAATGCCTCTTTTCATCTCAGAATCTGTTCCTCATGCAAGGTCATTTTAAATTCCTATCTAAATACCAATGTTCACCAGAATTAGAAGAAAATGGAGTGATTGCCTTAGGTCTTATTCCTCTCCTCCAATATTTTTTTTCTCTACTCAGCAGTCAAAATTATTTTCTTAATACAGATCCAACCATATTATCCCCCTTTCCCCCACTCAATAAACTTTAGTGGCTCCTTATTACTTCTGGGATGAAATGAAATAGTCTTCTGTTTGGTATTTAAAGCCCTTCACAATCTGGTCCTTCCTACATTTGCACTCTTCTTACACTTTATTCTCTTCCATTGACTCTACAATTCAGCAACAATGGTCTTCACTCATGACACTCCATTTCCCAATTATGTGCATTTTCACTGGCTGTCCGCCATACCGGGAATGGTCTCCCTCTTCAACTCCCATCTACTGGCCTTCTTGACTTTCTTCAAGACTTGAATCCTACCTTCTACAAAAGTTCTTTCTCACACTCTTTCTACAGCTGTCTTCCTCAGAGATCACCTTCCATTTGCACAATATGTAGCCTGTTGGTTTTTTTTTTATAATTTTTTGTACTTTGACTCCCACATTTGAGTAGGAGCTCCTGAGGGCAAGGACTGCACTTTTTGTCTTTCTTTTTATCCCAAGTCCACAGCACAGCGTCTGACACATAATAAGGGATTATTAGGTCTTGCTAACTGAGACCCCAGGGCTAGAAAACAGAAACCAGATTTATGTGGAGAATTTTGAGGCTGTGTAGGTCTTAATTTGACACTTCCTCATTCAGCTGACTACTGCCTAGTCACTCACAGTTATAGAAAGGGGAGGATGAGACAGTTAAATGAGCAACTTCCTGTAGGTGGATACCAAGAAGCTGGGTAAAAATAACCTAGTAACCACAGAGATGCTGGGTAGTGCTACCTCTTACTATCTGAGATAATGAGGAGAGCCAGGGATAATTGAAAACCATAGTAAATCAAGCAATCCTCATTTTAAACATGAATTTTAGCTGGCAAGGAAGGTTTTCAGTGAAGGGGATGTAGGAGGAATTGTTCATAAGGAGATTATCTTGTCATACCCTCAAGTGCAGGACCTTAGTGGTCCTCCCCATTCAAAAGAGATGAATCATAAAGGAAAAAGTAATCTTGATTGGCTTTGTCAAAAAAAGTTGACTTTCATCAGTATTGTTGACTTATCCCCTGTGGTTATTTAGAGATGCAAAAAAATCATTTCTGCCTTCCATGGGAAGAGGTTGTGGTAGAAGAACCAAAGGCTGGAGGAAGAGCAGGAGAAGGCTTAGGGTAAAATACAGAAGAAATGGCAATGTTGATTTGGAAGCCTTTTAAACTATAGCCAAGGCTAGAGACCGAATTTAGGGAAGGGAAATTTGGGAAGACTTGAGAAGTTGAAGGAGGGTAACAGCTAGAGCTGAAACAGGAAAAGGAACTGAGCCATTGGAGCAACAATCAATATACCAATAAACATTTATTAAACACCTACTAGGTGCCAGTATGTGCTAAGCACTGAAGAATTCATGGAGAAGGAAAAAAAAAGAATTTTAAGCAAAAGGTCCTAAAGAGAAAGAAGAAGGTGAAGGACCTGTGAAGAAAGAGAAACAGGTGAGAATGAGAAGAACTTGATAGGAAGGAGATGTGATCACTGAGACTTAATAAGACTCATCCCCAGATGATGGCTCTGGAACAATAGACCCTATGTAAAAAGGGACAGTGCAGATGAAAGAGGTGGGAGGCATGAGGTAGCAATTACATTTTAAGGAGTTATGCTCATTTGAGGAAATCTAGGAATCAATGGTAAGATCATATGGATGAAGATCCTCAGAAAGAAATAGAAGCAATATCATCATCTAAACATCATTCAGATAACTTGGATAGAAAGAAGAAATAGATAAGTTTGGGAAACAGATGGAAAAGCTGGCATGGAGACATGTTTCAGTAGTGATGGAGGACATCTGTTATCTAGACAGCTGCTCGATATCTCTTCCTCTGCTGAAAGTAGAGCAGTTAATCATTTCTTCTGTTGCCTTAATGAAAATTTCATCCTTCCAAAACTGAAGGAACCAAGAAGGGGAAATTCTATTTTGGATCCGATTCTTCACAACAAAGAGGAACTAACTGCTTGCTGGGGTAGAGAATGGGAACCTTGGAAGGAAGTGACAATACAATCTTAGAATGTGTAGTGGAGAAGCAAGTTGGAAACGGTCTGACTTACCCCCTAAATTTGGGGAGAGCAAATTTAAAAGGATTAAGAGAAAAGATGGGCAGAAATTGCATGCACTAAAGTTCTACAAGATATTTGCTCAGGAGGTGCAGGAAGCTCTCAAGAATGAAATTCTGAAGACAACTTATTTCCTATGACCTACCACTCCACCCCACCTCAGCTATTTACAGAGATGGTTGAACCCTTGATCTTGCCATCACCAACAAATGCCCCACTTCCATGTTTACCTGATCACAATCTATTGTTATTCCACCTCTCCCTTGCAACCCCAAACCCTGTCTTCATCTTCACTGTGACCTTCAATCCCTTGACCTTCAGTTCTTTCCCAAGCCATAACTCCTGCACTGGCTGCACTTTCTTCTCTTCCTCATCTTGACCCTTTAGTAAGCCAGTTCAATTTTATGCTCTTTACTTCTCAAGTCCCTTGCCCTTTTATCAATTTTGCCTTGCCAAGCCTTAGACTTGGATCATTCCCACAGTCCCCTGCCTTCACTTCTACTCATGTGCTGATGAATAAAAGATGGATCAAATCATGAAACCGTGATGACTGGTTCCACTATTAATTTATGTTACATAACCTCATCTGAGCCCTCACTGCAACAAGAAAATCCTTTCACACCTCCCTAACTGACTCACTATCCCACTTGGCACAGCAGCTTTCCCAAATCTTCTCATTCTTCCTCAAACTTTTCATAACTCCCCTCCCATACTCTCTCAGCTGAGAACTTTGCCTCATGATTCACTGAAAACTTTGAGGCCATTTGTCACGAGCTCTTTCTGCCTCCTCATCTACTACCACTCAGATGCCTTTTGCAACTATGTTTTTCATTGCTGTCTCACATAAAGAGGTGGCCCCTCTTCTTGCTGAATGAAGCTAACCCTTCTCCCTGCACAAGTGACCTCACTCCATCTCATCTTCTCCAGCAGATTGCCCTATCATCTCTATTCTCTGACTTATCTTTAGTTGCAAATGAACATGTTCAAATCTCTCTTATCCTAAAATAAACAAAAAACAACTTGGTCTATCCATCCCCACTAGCTATCTCATCTCTCTCCTTCCTTTCAGGGCTAAACGCTTTGAATGGGCCATCTACAGCCGGTGTCTCCATCTCTTTTCCTCTCACTCTGTAAACTCTCTATAATCTGCCTTCTGGTCCTATCATTCAATTGAAACTCCTCTCTCCAGAGTTACCTATGACCTCTTAATTGCCAAATCGAAGGCCTACTTCTCAACCCCCATGCTTCTTGGCCTCTGAAGGCTTTGACACTACTGATCGCCTTCTCTTTGACACTCTCTGGGCTGACGTGATATTGCTCTGTTCCAGTTTTTCTCCTACCTATCTGACTTTTCCTTCAGTCTCCCTTGTCCAGGTCATGCTCTCTAATGATGGATGTCCTGGACGGTCATGTACTAACCCTTCTTCTCTTCTCACTTCATACTATTTCACGTGGTGATCTCAGCAGATACCATGGATTCAAAATTATCTCTACACTGATGATTGTTTGCCCTAACTTTTCTTTTAGCCTCCAGACGCATCTCCAGCTGCCCACTGGACATCTTGAATTGGATGTCCTATAGACATCCTAAACCCAACAGGTCCAAAACTGTACTCATCTTTCCACTTAAACCCTCCACTCTTCCAATCTTCCCTACCATCAAGTGTACCACCATTCTCCTAGGATCACAAACTAGGTGTTATCCTCATTTCCTTTCTCTCTCATCCTCCACTCCTTCCCCATATCCAGTTTGTCGTCAAGTTCTGTTGATTTTGCCTTTGTAATATCTCTTGTATATGCACTGATCTCTCCTCTGACACTGCCACCACTCTGGTTCAGGCTCTCATCGCCTCACACCTGGAGTCCTGCAAAAGCCTTCAGTTTGATCTCCCTGACTCAAGCTGTTCCTCGCTCCAGTACATCCTACACTCACCTGCCAAACCGATCTTCATAAAATGCAGGTCTGACCATATTATCCCATTTAATAAATTTCAGTAGTTTCCTATTGTCTTCAGGATCAAATATAAAATCCTCTGGCATCCAATGCTCTCTATAACCTATCCCACTCCCACCTTTCCAGTCTTCTCACCCCCACGTACTCCACCATCCAGGGATACTGGACTCCTTGCTGTTCTTTGAACATAACACTCCATCTCTGACTCTCAGTCTTTTCACTGGCTGTCTCCCAGGCCTGGAATTCTCTC